GCAACTGATCAATTTATATTTAGAGGTAAAAGGACCCAGACAGAGCCTTTGCTTTGTGAACAAATTCGAACACTTTTCTTTAGGAACAACTTGACAGACTGATGTTTCTGGTGACCATTCCTCAGTCAGTGCTCCCTATGATGCTATAATTAAATTCTTAGTGATTATTTTGTGGGAAGCCTTTCTTCTTCTTCTTTGGGAATATTCTGGGAACACGTACGTGTTTGTACTTCAAACTGCCTGATTTGAGCAAATTTTCTTTATTCTTTTGTTTCTTTTCTGATGCCGTACATGGGACCTGTGATGAAAGTGCGTTGCTGGGGCCTTGATAACTATGCTGCATTATTTCTGCGGCAAGTGGATAGTCCTGCTCTGCTTTGATTTCTAGCAGATGCAAATTCTGTCCAGGAGGATTCTGTGAAGCTGATGGGCAGCCGGATATGTTCCTATCTCAAGCCCACTGAAGCAAAATACTGCACTAAATCTGTGAACTAATGTGACTTTTTACATTTAATTTTGCTTTACCTTTGTGGCTTTGTATTACTGTATCACAACAGAACAGACTTAGTAGGGGAAAAAAAACATGAAAGAAGTAAGGAGCATAAAGCCAGTCAGAGGGATTAATTAAGACTCTCTACCACGTACATCATTGGTGTTTAGACTGGTAGGAGAACTATTGAAGGACAAAATAGCCTGTAGATCTTAAACGGGTGGTAGAATAACACTCAATTAGTGGGCTGATAATGAGCAGACTGGGATCCCGTGTCCTTCCTTCCCTTCTCGGCAAACAGAAAAAAAGACGCTTACATGATGGAGTCAGCCTAATGCTTATGTTTTCTAACTGCACCAATGCCGTGGAATCTCCCTCCAGAAACATTTCAAGAAGACCACAGTGCAAGTGAAAGGTGAAGGCTAAGCAGAAAGACTGTGTGATTCATTTGAATCACATTGTAATCTTTAGTCTCCACATACAGAAATTCTGGAGCCAACAATCAGGTTGGTCACTATTTAAATAAAGTCTCTGCTCATGCATACACATTTTATTGATTTGTTTGTTTACTTATTTATCTGCCCATTTAGTTCTTTTTCCCCAGTCAGGCTAACATAACTGATACACAGCTGATAAGCATTCTTTCATTCTTTTTCTCGTCTCCATGCATTTTTTTTACATCCTTCTCAACTAGGATGCTTATGCCCTCACCCCGCTAGGTGGATGCTCCGATGCTTTTAGCCTGTAAGGTAGACCCTAGACTCCAGTTCACTTTTCTAGGAGGTGCTTTATTGCTGCAGAAGAGAGGGTGTTGCAAACAGAAAATGATACCTGGATTCCCAATTACTAAAGCCCATATTCTCTCTCTCCGATGCCATAGGCACAATGCTTCTCGTTTGTGTTAAGTTTCATTCCTGCAGTGTGCTTAGAGACAAACAGCTCTAAATGCTGTCACTGCATGGGCCAAAATTGAATATTATAGTAAGGACAATTATAGACTAATTTTTCCATCTCTAGTAAGGTCAGGATGATCTGATGAGGCAGACCTTAACCTTATTTACTTGAGCTGTGATTTTGTATCTATAATTAATTAATCGTGGATTTTCCTGAAGAATAGCTACGGTTGCTTTTGCTACATTCCTGTGTGTGGCTCAGTTAAGCCCAACTCATTTCCTCCTCCAATCAACCTCAGTGACTTCTCTTGTCCTGCCTGGAAGACCACCCAGTACGGCGAGGACACAGGCAGCACTAAGAAGTCGCATTACAGGAAGGTTCAGTCCCAACTTTGAATAGATGGAGCATTGAAGATTCCAGGGTGAGTCTCTCTTGGAAGCCATTCCCAGAAATCAAGCTCATTTCTTATTTATGATTTGTATTAGATGTATTTTCATCTATCTTATACATCAAACTCCATGGGGAAAATGAGCATAAGAGTCCTATCTCCAGAGGAGCTTAAATGAAAATATGGGAGGTGGAGCATGCAGAAACAGTTGTAAAGTGAGCCGGAAGTATGGACCTGTTCAGGGCATGGGAGTCAATCTGTACTCTAAATATCATGATGGGGTAACATTGTCTCAGTGTGCTCCCATTAGAGTCAGGGGCACAGACACAGTGTGCTTTCCCCATTGTGGTGTTTCCCCTGTGATTCTCTGAAGAACATTTATCTGCTCTTAATATATTTAAAGTCCTCTAATGGGAGCAATCATACTCCCATATATCCTCTCTCCGGCAGAGTACTGTCGTGTCTTTATTTTAGGTAGGTCAAGTTTCCTAAGCCCCCAATCTCCATCTCAACTCTTACCCTACGCTCTCCCCTGCTAAGATATAAGTGTATTTGCTATAGCCTAGAATTTCAGCAATGAGATCATCACAGTGATCCTATACCAATTCAGTTGGAGAACCTAGAACTCCAAACTTCACTGGTAGTCAGCTAGCCATCAGGGGACACTTGAGTAATGACTGTCTCTGTGCAGAAATCTAGATTTAAAAAAAAAAGAGAGAGAGAATGAGGAAAAATGTCCCCAGGAATAGTTTGGAGCATAGAACAAGCTAGAAAGAGACGTTCTCAGCATGGGAAGCCCCTGGAGCCCCACAGTATGCTCCAAGCATCTCGAGAGCCTCGGGGTGCGAGACTGGTTGACAACCAGTGGGTGTGCTAACGCTCCAGACAGCTCTAGAAAAGCCATGTGAACATGAAGGAAGAATCAGGACTTCAGGTGCTGGAGAGATGTCTCAGTGGTTGGGAACACTGACTGCTTTTCCATAGGACAGGGGGTCAATTCCCAACACCCACGTGGCATTTCACAGCTGCCCGTAACTCCAGTTCCAGGGTACCTGACACCTTCACACAGATATATGTTCAGGCAAAACATGAATGCACATGAAAGAAAAATTAAAAAGATTTTTTAAAAAAAAAAGAGTCAGAACTTTCTTCTGAACATCTGAGGTGTCACCTGAAGAGGTGTAGAAAGAGAATCGTTTGGAAGGATCAATGCTCCAGAGACAGGGTGTGCATATGTCTTTATATCTATAATCTCTGGATCTCTCCGGGTCATTGTGTGAAACAAAGAATGATTACAGTTAAAAAAAAAAAAAACCTGGGCACTCCTATTGTTTTGAGCTCTATATCTTACTCACCTTCTGATTTCTATTTTTAAAAAAGTAAGATAATTTATAAGGTGAAAAAGTTTCAAGTTGACTGATAGTGTGGGAGGTTGTAGCTCAGGACTGACTGGCTTCCTCGTGCTGGCACTGTGGTGAGGCAGCTCCTGATGGGGCAAAAACACTCATCTTGGGACCTCGGGGAGTAAAAGAGAGAAATAGGAGTGAGCTACGGTCCACTGTCCCAGCCAAGAGTGCACTCCTAATGACCCGAAGTCCTTCCACCAGTCACATCTCCACTTTTCCAGGAGCAGCAGCCTGGAAAGCAAGTCTTCATGCACTGGCCTTTGAAGGACATTCAGGACCCAACTTCAGCAGGCTTTGTTGGTTGTATAAAACCTGACATGCGTTTTTTGTTTTAAAATAGAAGCATTGTGACACGGTGAAAACCCAGCCTTGGAACCACTCTCATGATTAAAGGTTCTACTGTGAAAATTACCTCCTGGGGGAGACGTGAAAAATGTCTACCCCTTCTTCCGATGGGCCCAACCACAGACGCACATACGATTCCAGCAAAGTTTACCCTGGGACCCCAATGGGTTTATTGGGCTTCCTCAGAGCATGAGTGAGGAGTTACAGGATTATGAGAGTGACCACAAAGCAGACACACTGTCAAGTCTTCACCCACCTTGGAAGACATCTTCCCCATGGGTGCCCAGATGGTGCTCGTTCCCCTTTTCCTTCTCAGCCTACAAACTGCCGCCTCTGATTTCTGTTGGACCAAACTGTGTACAAATATCTGGGGAAAGTATCCACCCAGATACTCAGCTGAGGAACCAGTGACACACAGGCTGATGGTGATGCTACCTGTGTGCAAGGAAGCACAGCTAATCTTATGAATCTGTGGCAGCTTGGCTCTAGGGACAGCACCTTGAAATAATTAGCTTCACCATTATACTCTGATGTGTATTTGCACATGAGTGCCTTCAGTGTTTCTCATGCTCATAATCAATATCTCAAACGCTTAGATTTTAATTCAGATGTTCTGCTGTGCAGCATCTTTGCCTACGAGTTGGAGATGCTACCAGTTGGATCACAGGAAAGGTTGCCACTAGTCCTCAGCCTCACACAGATTTTATCTCTTTGATTTTTAAAGTATACACAGATTAGAAAGCATAGATTTGGTTGCTTAGTGACTACACCTATAGTATTATTTTGGAGAAAGCGACTATTCCGGTCCCCAAGATGCTACTATAAGAACACCAGCTATTTTATTATACCCCCCAGGACCCAGTGTGTGCCTTCCTTCCAACATATCATGTGCCAGCAGCACAGGGTCCCACACTTTAGCTGTTTGCAAACTCTGTCCCAAAACGTTTTGTGATGTGGACTTGGTTTGAAATGTTAAATGCTTAATCTTCAGCACTAATACTCCAGCTCCAAAAGTAATCAGAAAGTGAACGGCAAGCCCCCTGCATATGAAATGTGTAGATAATCATGGTCAACTCTAATACAAGACGCTGCACCTCCCGATGCAGCAGCCACTTTACTGGAGGTTTCTGTGGACTGGATCTCTGGTTAAGGGGTCGAAAAGAATTTATTCTGTTTGGTCATGTATGCTTGGGGATCATTTGCCACAAGGGATTTCAGCAAAGCTTGGGCTGTTTAGATTTGTCAGGGCACTTTAATCTTAATAGTGAGTGGACATTTCTCCTACCCCAGCTAAATTGCCTATGTGTACTATGAGGCCTTGGAGAAAAGAATGTGATGAGAAAATCTGCCTTGGAGAAATGCATGTGACCCAAACCTCACTTTTTTTCTCAGTAGCTGCTTCTTTTCCTTTTCTCTTTCTTTTATTTAAGGAGAAGTATCAGTATACTTAAACAGAAAGGATAATAGGTAAGCTTTTATTAAGTTGCTTGAAATTTCACTGGTGGGGATGGCTTACAGAATGATCGAGCATCTAGTTTTTAAACATTTTCCCCATAAACAGTGGAATCAAGCTTCTGCAGTCCTGTGGGGGTGATGCATGAAACAGTTGAGAACATATTTAATAAGGTTCTGACTTCTGTCACTACAGAAAAGACAAGTGTTGAATCTTGATAAATAACAGGAAAGAGACATTGGTAAACTTTTAATAAGGATGTCTTTCTCCCCCCCCCCCCTTTTTGTAAATTCACAGCGGCCACAATATAGAACATAGATTAGCACTTGACAAACCAAAAAGTAGCACATAACATTAAAAATAGCAGGCTCAGACTTTTTCATATCAAAAGCCATAAACTGAAACTTAAACAGTAGACACTTTCAACCAAAGCAATACACAGGAGAAGCAGCTGTTGCCAAAGCACATTGCTCAGGTGTGCCAGCGTGAGAAAGTCTGCAGGGTCCCAGTATGCCTAGTATGCACTCAGTCCCCACTTAATACCTGCCAGACAAGTCGCAGATGCCTCCCAGGGGGTAGAAGCAGATGATTTCTTTGAAGGTTTTCCTCAGTTCTTGACTCCGGAGGGCATAAATGAGGGGGTCAATGACGGCATTACACATGATCAGGATGAGATACAGGTTAAAATGAGACATGAAACACACACAATATGGATTCTGAGGGCAAGAGATATAGAATAGTAAGTGGAGGAAGAAAGGGGCCCAGCAGACCACGAAGACCCCAATCAGGATGGTCAGTGTAATTGCCCCCTTCATGTTGGCACCCTGACGGATGGTACCAGTGCCAGGGAGGACAGCGATCCTCTTAATGTGAAGCCTCGCCATCAGGAACATGTGGACATAGAGAGAGGCCATGAGAACCAGCATGGTGAAGAACATGGTAATGAGGCAAATGATGACAGCGCTGCTGTCCGAGTATATGATGAAGAGGATGCCCGACACCGTACAAGCCGCCCAGATACAACTTATGATGATTGCTACCCGCTTAACCGTCATAATGTTATGGTACTGGAGGGCGTAAAAGATAGTGAAATACCTGTCCACGGCAATGGAAAGCAGGCTGCAAATGGACGCAAGCAAGGAACTACAGATCACAGAGTCAATGACATTATCAATATTCACGGTGAAGCTCTGCGCGTCCGTATCTGTGCTGTTCAACAGGGTGATGACGATGGTTTCCGACCCGTTTGAAACGCTCACCAGCATATCTGCCACAGCCAGGCTACAGATGAAAAAGTACATGGGCGAGTGCAGATTCTTGTTCTTGGCGATGGCCACGATCACTAGAATGTTCTCCAACAGGCTTATGACACCCAGAGTCACAAACACCTCGGGAGACACAAAAAGTTGCTCATAGCATCCTCCATCAGAGTACCCCTTCCCCAGGGACTCGCTGGTATTGCCGTGCAGCCCGTAGCTGCTGCGGTTCCAGAGGTGGAGGGAAGTATACATGCCATGGTGGTGGGTGGAGTTCATCTTCCTGCAGCAGCTGGATTCGAATTCTCCTTGAATTGATCCAACCTCCTGGGTCAGAGAAGCTCCGGTGATTTTCTCCCAGGCTGTACGTGTGTGTTTGTGGAAGTTGGGAGGCTGCACTTGGCGCCTGCTGTGAGCGCAGTCAGAAGCAGCTGCGGGGCTTGCAAAGGAGTTGTTGGTCTCTTCTGGGCTCCGCTCTGCTCCTTATCTCTTAAGACACCCGGGCTTCTGAATGTTCATTCTCAGTTGACCAGTCCACCGTTTGCTTTTGTTCTCGCTGCAGTTTTCGTTTCAGCCTTATTCATTTAGGGTCTTTTCAGAGTCCTTATCCTGAGAGTCGCTGTGCAGCTGGGAGCCGCATCTGCGTGCCCATACTCACACTGGAGCCTCTCAGAAGTTCAGTTTCCAGCGGGAGCATCCCTGTGAGCTAGAGCAGCCTGGTGCTGGCTGCTGATTTCTTATGGTTATATTGAGAGGGGGAGACTGCTCTGAATGGCTCCGCCTCTGCTTCCTTCTGACCAATCCATGTTCAGTGGTTCTGAGACACCGATCCTGCACAAGAGCTTATGGGGCAACTCAGTGGCCGAAGAAGGCAGGGTGAGAAACAGGCAGCATACGAGACACTGAATTTTCCTTTTCAAGTTTTAAGAAAAAAATGACTTGATTGTTCGAGCATATTCCGTGTTATCACCGAAATCATCGGGAATCGGCCCAGGCTCATTCTTGCTTCAGACGGAGCTGCCTGTGTGAGCAAGGGTAAAATCAAACGAATAGCACGCTGTCCTGCGCTCCTAAAGGAAACGCTGCCCCTCTGTCCAGGATCCCCCTGAATGGGTGAAGGTTCAGTTTAAAAGATGCAGGCAGTACTTAATAAGATAGGTAGATACACTGTGGACAACTAGAGTTCAGCCAGGAGTTAATGACGGGTTCACTTCCTGAACGCTAGTAGCAGTGTTTCTCCATTGCCGTTTCTGCTGTAACACCTTGGGAAAGTTTTCATTTAAAGTATTTCAGAAGTTCAAGTGACATTAATGAAAGCATGACCGTGAACAAATGAACAGTTCTGTGTCATTTGGGGTGGGGGTAGTTGGGTTTGTTTCTGTTGTTTGATTTTTAAAGGTAGCGTTCTGGTTTGTTTGTTTGTTCTTCCACCGTTGGAAGTATCACAAACTGAAGCTGAAGCTGTAAATACTCGGGCTAGGCACTTGCTCAGGCCAGGTCTGGTGGGTGTGTGCATGGTCCCGAGTGCTGCTTTGGAGAGATCACAGGAAAGTCATGTGCTGTTAATTAAACTCAAGGTTAGGACATTTACCATGCAATTTTCTTGTTATGATTATTTTGGGTTTTATCTGTCAGTAGTTTGTAGGGATTGACCGTAAGATATAAACTAAGACAGAATTGTTCAGAATGCATCCTTAGTCCTTGTTCCTTAGCTTCGAGCTGCCCCTCGCCCACTTTTCATGTCAGAGACAATACTAAGCCTTTCTTCTGAATGTTTTGCTAAATTGGTGTCACCACACAGCTCTGGAACTGAGTAGGACATACTACTGAATTCTGGCTAATGAACAGTGTAGAAGCTGCTACACACAGGTCACCTTCCTCTTGATTCTGCTCTCTCTCCTTCTGGCAAATGGCTGCATAGTGTCTAGAAGCCTTGTATATAGCTGCTGGAACCTCACCAGAGAAGACATGTCTTCTCCGTAACTGTGCAGAATAGAACCACCTTCTACATTTCTTCCATCTTGAGCCGATCAGCTGCCAGGCATGTGCTAAGAACAAGGGGTAGCTTTTGCTATTGTAAACGCCCAGGTCCACTGTTCAGCTGTTACAGTAGCTGGTAATCAGTACCTCCAGACACTTTCCTAGAGCCGTTGGGAAGCACTAGCATAGATTACATAGAAACCTACTTATTTTATTCTTCACGCTTCTTCAATAGTGAATTGTCTAACCAATAAGCAAGTGATACAGAAGAAATCCACAGAGTTGTCTGGACACCACATAGTTAACTGAATAGCCTTTCTAAATAGCGCTTGCCTCTATGCTACATCTCTCTGTTGCATTTAGTGCACGTGGTTTTTCCACCTACCTCGCAATGCCTACCATGTTCAATTTATCAATCTGGGGGATGTACTTTTGGGGTCATTGGAGAGAAACTATTTCTTAACCCAGCATCATGAAGGATTATATTGCTTTATTGAAATTGCCTGTGGTGAAATGTTACTCCTATAAGTATGATATTAGAGGTGTTCATAGGAACTGAATGAATCCTATAGCTGAATTAAAGAATCTCACATAGAGGCTTTCCCCAAGAATAACTTTTAGTGGTCGTTTCTTTTTCTTTTTCTTCTATGTATGGTCATATTTACTTCCCTACTTTTTATTTTATTTTAGTATGTCGAAACTAGACATACTAAATAATATGTTACAGATATTCTGGAAATCATATTTTCACATTACCTGATGCTTATTGTTACTGTTGTTAGTTATTTATCATTGTTGCTTATTCGATGACTTCGAGTCCATGTACCCAACGAATATCTGACTGTGATCTTATTAGTCAGTGGGTGATGGACTGAGGCAGCCACAGCAGTAAGTCTCCCAGTCTTGCATGTTGAAGCAAGCTGCAGTGTGCCACCCTGCCATTGTACTTCACCAAGCTTTGCTTTCTGCGGAAATCAGAGGGGAGAATTTGGGGCATTCTTGGATCTTTTATGACCTTCTGCACAGTTCTCCAAATAGCATGGCTTTCTATATTCTCAGCACTTGTTTTATCTCTTTTTACAGAGACCCCGTTCTCTCATTTCCCTTTAAAAGTTTTGGACTCTTTTTCATTTGGTACCCAATATATCAAACAACCATGGGATTAGTTAGCAGTTGCTTCTAGTGTCACTGGGGAAAAGCCTATTCTTAGAGGGCACATTCTGGGTCAAGAAAAAGCCTTGGAAGCTGGTTTTCCAAGGGGGTCCACCAGACAAGTAAGATGAGCGGTTTCTTCAGTGAAGGGGCTAGGTAGGCTTCTAAAGAATTTCAAGTCAGGCTACCCCTGACACTTCCCCAGAAGAGATGCTTTTTTCTGGCTGTTGATTTTCAAGGATGTGAACCAAGCTGGCTAAATGCCAGGAAGTTCATTGTTTAAACTTGCTGTAATTTAATAATTTTCTTGAATAAATTCTCCCTGGATGGCTTGGCACAGTGGTTATTTTTTTTTATGTTGTATGCATTCTAACACTAATGAACATTGCTAGTGGTGTGGATTTAATTGGTGAGAGATTTTTCACTCGTCCTTGCTTTAGCATTTTACTACAATTATTCCTCATTCATTGCCTTTTATCTTAAAATAATTAAATTAGATAAATCCCTATCAACCCTCTCTCTTAACAGATTTTTTGATGAATGACTAAAATATTTTGTACTTTTACTACATCTTTTATAAAAGCTTTTCATATGAGAAATAAAGTAATAAGAAGATAGCTGAAAATTTGGATAAGATAATGTGAATTTTGAAATAACAAAGTACATATTAGTAACAAAAATCTGCAGACTCCATTATTTGTCTTTTCATGATAATTTAGATTTATAGTAAATCATAAATATTATGTACCTCAAAGTGAATGTTTTACTCATCATCTAATTTTCCTTTTTGCTGTGAGGCAGAACAATACAACAGACAATGTCAAAAACATCAAGATTATTTTGAAAACTTTATTGCAATTTTTTTTTTTAAAAAAAGGAAGCAAAACTGCTGGGAGGTGGTGGTGCACGCCTTTAATCCCAGCACTTGGGAGACAGAGGCAGGTGGATCTCTGTGAGTTTGAAGCCAGCCTAGTCTACAGAGAGAGAGTTCCAGGACTGGCTCCATAGCTACTGAGAAACCCTGTCTTGAAAAACCAAAAAAAAAAAAAAGCAGCAAAACTTAGGTTATAACTTATTAACTTATTTCTGTACTAGGAAGAATATAACACTAAAAATAAAACATTCCCATAGAAAAATATTTACCCAACCACAGCACCCATCAACCCTATTTTTACATGATGCTTAAAGGTTTTTCACCTCAAAGTAAAGGGTTCCAAAGTTCAATCATTTCTGAAAAGGTTGCAGACTCCCCCTTTGGGCTGAAGTTGAGAGCTTGCACGCACATCCCTCCTGCTGTAGAAAGCTGATTGAGCTGGAACCCAGGGCCTCTCCTCACTTGGTCCCTCAGGTGGGTGCTGCCACATTGTGTCCTGCTACTGCACTTGTCCCCAGATGTAAATTCATTCCAAGCTTGAGGGATGCCAGGGAACATTTTGGGCAGAAGGCAAATTGGATTGTATAAGATGTAGAAGACAGTACCCAGCTAACTGTGAGGACACCCAGACATCAGTGGTGACCTTAGCTAGCACAGTCTGTGCCACGAGCTCAGTCAACATGGATGGGCTGAGTCCCCATGTGAGGTCTCAGGTGATCTTCCATTTTTCCTCCCCCCATCACAGATCCTATGTGAGGTCTCAGAAGATCTTCTATCTATTCCCCCCAACACATTGTTCTCAAGCTGCAGACCTCCTAAAACTTCCACAGGCGACACACAGGCCTTTTCCTTCCCAGAGGGTGTTGTAGCGGATTGTGCATGTGCAAAATACAGTTGCTCATTTTCTTTGCTTCTTTAAATGTATCCATGATGGTGACTTTAAGTTTTCTTGGTATTTTGTGCCTTGTTCCATTTTGCCCATAAAACTCTCATTTTTACATTTTTTAATGTGACTGTACAGCACATAAGTATTCTGGGGACACATATGTCATGTGACAGACACAGACAGTGTAAATGTTCCATGATCTGGAATATCTGTTCACTGAACCAGTTTGGGACACATTGGTTAAATTACTCTAACTACAGAAATGGTGCTTACTGAAAAGTGCTCAGCTGAGCACTGTGGCTCACATCTCTAATCCCCCAACTCAAAAGCTGAGGCAGGAGAAATAACATGAGTTTAGGACCAGGCTGGGCATATAGTGAGTCCCAGGCTAGGGCAGATTGTATTCATTAGACTTTGTTTCAAAAATAATTTCAGTGTGATATCTTGATAGTAGAGATGTTTGCTGCCAAACCTGACAACTGAATTTGGTCACCAGAGCCATATGGTAAAAGGAAATCCACTCCCACGGGTTGTCCTTGACCACCTCATGCACACATGCGTACACACATATGCAATGCACGCACACATATACACGTACATGTACACACCTGCACAACATGTACACACATATGCACATACACGCACACATATACACACATGCATATGCAATGCACGCACATATATGCACATACACATGTACAAGTATATACATATGTGCACACATGTGCACATGCACACATACATATACACATGTATGTACACACACATCCACTGAATGTTTTGTAGGTTAGGCTAAAAGTTTCAATGAATTATCATAACTCAAAGTAAATATCCTAAATTAAT